CTTGTCATTCTCTGGAATGTCCTTCAGCACTCTCTGTAGGGTTGGATTGGTGGCCATGAATTCCCACAATTCCTCCTTGTCTTGGAAGCATCTTATTTCTCCATTAATTTTGAGAGAGAGCTTTGATGGGTATATGAGTCTTGGTTACATATTATTTTCTTTCAGGGCTTGGAATATTTCTCCCCATTCCCTTCTTGACTTAAGAGTTTGTGTTGATAAGTCTGTTGTTATTTTGATAATTTTCCCATTGTAGGTAATCTGCTTGTTTTCTCTGGATGCTTTTAATATTCTGTTCTTTTGGTGGATTTCTGGAATCTTGATTATTATATGTCTAGGTGTGTAGATCTGTTTTGGTTGTAGGTAGCTGGTGTTCTGTATGCCTCTTTTATCTGGATATCATTTCTTTTTGCTATACATGGGAAATTTTGCTTTAATGTATCTGTGAATATTCTTTGTATTTCATTTTTGGTTGCTCCTGCTTCCTCACTCACATTCTTTATTCTTAAGTTATTGTTTCTTTCTGGTTCCTTGTTATTTTTAAGAGGTTTTTTTCTTTCACAATCATGTATGTTAAATCTCTCTTCAAGTTTCAAAAGGCTGACTTTAGTTTCTGTCAAGGTATTTTGCCAGTGTTTAATGGAGTTTTTTGGTTTCCTGGTAATCTCTTTGGATCTGTTTCATGTGTTCTAAGTTATATTTAAACTCTTCTTCAGAAGAATCTTTTTCTTTTCTGATTTCCTCAGTTCTTCCATCCGTGTTCTCTTGGGCAGGGCTTGTCATTTCTTTAATTAATCTCTTTATATCTTGCCTCACTTGGGTCAGGAGTAGTGCTTTAAATTCATCTAAGAAGTCATGGAGGTATTTTTTTTTTAATTTCGGCTGATGCTTTGTCCAGTATTGGATGGTTACAGTGCTTGTTCTCTTCAGTGTTTACTTCTCCTGTACTTATTTTCTCGTGTTGGGCAGCTGGAGATTTTTTTTTTATTTCTATCACTTGTCACGTTTCTGGTTTCTTTCAGACTGGAGTGTACTGGGGGTCTATGGCCCTCTCTGTATTGCTTAGGGCCTTTCAAATGTGTGTTGACTTGAGTTTTTGCTGTCCTCCCCAATTTGCTGTTATCTGGGGTAGGCAGGGATACAGGGATGGTGCAGGCTAGCCTGCAGCCTCTGTGCCAGTCAATCTGCAAATTAGCCTGTACTTTGTGGGTGTCACAGAATCGTGACTATTTTGTATCTGCTTATTGGTTCCCAACCAGAGGCTTGGTTCAGCCCCAGCAGGTCCTGCCAGTTCTCTCTGTGCCAGAAGCTGCTGGATAATGTCACCATGGCACAGGGCTCTACCCAAATTCCAGCTGTCCTCTACCAGATCTCTCTGTGCCAGGAATGACTATGTAATGTCCCCGCAGCTGTGGGTCTGCCCAATTCCAAGATGTCTTCCACTAGTTCTCTCTATGTCACTGACACTGATAGGGTGCCAGGCTCTGCCCACTTTCAAGATGTCCTCCACCAGACCTCTCTACACCAGGGGCGACTGTCTGATGTCACTGAGCGCATGCTCTGCCCAACTCCAAGATGTCTTCCACCAGAAGTTATTGATGTTGCTGTGGTGGCAGGCTCTGCCCAATTTCAAGATGTCTTCCAGCCAGCCACAGCACCTGCGGGACCCAGTCCCCAGTACTCACCAGGACTCAGTGCAGGTCTTCCTCTTGAGTTTACTGCACACTACACTGCTTGCCTTCCCTGTGTTCCTGACACAGCACGGAACAGTCAGAAAACTGCACGGTGCCCAGCTTCGGAACTCTGGAGCTTCTCACAATCTCCACCGGTGCAGCCAGGCAGCCCTGGCTGCTTCGAGGGGTCCCAGGTCTCAATTTCCAGCAGTCACCAAAAGCTAATACAGCTTTTCCTCTTGGGTCCACTGGTCAGTTTGCCGCATTAAAGGCATGGGATTGCAGACTCCTCTTATCAGCCATTGCAGTCACAGCATGACCTTAAATCCTCCAGCCGTGCTGTCTTGGTTAAAAAGAACCATTATCCATTCATCGGGCCCTCTCCATGTTGTCATATTCTAGCATCTAATATGATTTCTCCGGAGAGACTCTCCACCCAATCTCCTAGCAAGCTGCCATTTTTGAAACTCCTCACCACGCTGATTTTATAACAGTAGCTTTGTAGTACAACTTCAAGCCAGGGATTTTGATGCCTCCTGACTTTCCTTTGTTGCTCAGAATTCCTTTTGCTATTCTAGGTCTTTTCTGCTTCCAGATGAATTTTAGGAATAATTCCTCTAGAACTGTGAGGTATAGTAATTGTATTTTGATCAGGATTGCAGTAAATCTGTATAACAATGTTGTGAAAATGGTCATTTTCTCAGTGTTTGTTATTCATAGCCATGAACAAGAAATTTCTTTCTATTTTCAGACATCCTCTTTGATTTATTTTTTCAGAGTACTGTTATTTTCACTGAATAGATCTCTTACTTTCTTTGTTAGCTTGATTCCTAAGTATTTCATTTATTTGGATACTATTGTGAATGGTGTGGCTTCTCTTATTTCTCTCTCAGTGAGTTTGTTGTTTGTATAAAGGAATACCATTTATTTTTTGAGTGCTAATTTTGTATCCCACCACATTTCTGAATTTGGTTATTATAAGTGAAAGTCTTTCAATGCAGTTTTGGAGATCTTCTATGTTGAGTATCATGTCATCTGCAAATAATTATAATTTAATGTCTCCCTTTCCTATCCTTATTCCTTTTACTTCTCTTTCATCTAATTATTCTGGCTAATGTTTCCAGCACTGTATTGAATAGGAGTAGTGATAGTGGACATCCTTGTCTTGTTCCTGGCTAATGTTTCCAGCACTGTATTGAATAGGAGTAGTGATAGTGGACATCCTTGTCTTGTTCCTGATTTTAGAATGAATGCTTTCAGTTTTTGACCATTTTAGACCATTTCCACCTGGACCACACTTAGAAGAATAATATATAATTGATTCTTGTCATGTGTAATTTTATTGCAGCAAAAATAGAGTTGTATTGATAAGAATTGGAACCTTGTGTTCTTAAAGTATCACTAATTTCTTTTTTATCTTGTTCATTAGAGCCTGATCATGTTACATGTTCAGTAGAGGCTAGAAGCTAAAGGGAGGGAAGGAAGGAGAGAGCAAGAGATAGATAAAAGTGAGAGAGAGGGAATGAAAATCATCTTCCTTACAAGAGTCTCCATAAATATTTATTTGCCTGAACTGTATTAGGCTTAACATAAGCCAAGTAGCATACCTCAGTAACTACTCAACTAAACAATTAAAATACTTTAACTTCCTCAATTCATCTTCACACAGTCACTCAGATATAAATGGCAGAGTTAATTATTGGCAGAATCTCCCATCAGAGAAAATAGTCCTCAAGGAATCTGAAAAGAAGAGCAAGGAATAAAAGTATTGAGTTCCTGCTGTGTGCAAGGCTAAGAATTCCTAAAGGAACCAGAGATGATCCTTCACAATCTTAAACTGGATGAACCACTACAATGTTGCCCAGAAAATATCACATTTATACAGTTGTGCATGCACAGGTTGAGCTAAATTGTAATTGCACTACCACTATGGAAATAGATAACTAGTTAGTCTGACAATATGACCCTTCTCTTAGGTGAATTTTAGAAGTCCATAAACTTTCTCATTCCGCACTAGGAAGAAATATAAGTTATGTATAAACAAAAACCTGTGACAGAATTAAGTTCACAAAGGAATTTTGTGCACTCAACATTCATTCACTGTAGCTTTATTGATATATAAAGACCTCAGAAAAGTCAATCAAACTTTTTTGTAAATTTTACCATATGATTAACAAAGTGTAAATGCCAACTCCATATAACTCTCACCTGAAATACACACTCCATTCAGATTATAGTAGGTTACCTATATCAATGCCTTACCTGAAAAAGGGGGTAGAATTTGAAGAGGGAAAGAAAATTGAAGCTCTGAAAAATGATTATCTAAATACAGGATATTCTCAAACTACAATATTACTATACAGGATTTAATTTTCTACTTTTAAAACTGTATTATGTTTTATATTTTGCACTTCCTTTACTTTTGTTTTCTTTTGATTTCCATTTTTCTCAGTAGATGTCCAGTTTCTTTCTCTTTGCTAAGGATAAACTTGGAGAAGATGTTTATTTTATTGACACTAAGACTGCACATAAAGAAAAGTGACCCACCTTGGACGCCTAGTTTCCTTGAAGAAAGGAATTAAAGTTTTGCCATGAAACAATGAAAATTTAGACTAAAACAATTTAGGTCACAATTACTTCAAGAACACATTATCTGTTCATTTCTGGAAAGTTCATTGTAATTTGCAGATTCTCAAATATAATTTATCTGAAAAAAGAAACACACATCAAATAAAAGTTAATTATACAAGGCAATGAAGCAGTCAAATTTTAATGTGTATATGTAATATTAGTGATAAAAGCAATAAATAATATTTGAGTTAATAAGGAGAAGAGGCCAAGTTCCTGTGAGCCATTCTCCCTTAAAGGGATACAGTCCCTAAGACATCCCAGAGAGATATACTTGATATTTTATTGTTCTAACTCCCATTCCTAGCAAATTAGTTCTTTGGATAGGAATTTGGAAATTATTCCTCTTACAACTTTACAATGAAATGTTTATAATGAAAAATAGGGTAATATCATGTTTCATAAAGGAATATTTTACACTACTATATTTATCTTTAGATATAAAAAATGTTTGCTCACAAGACCAAACATTTGTGGACAGTCATAGTCTGTAATCTAAGAGCCTCCCCCTATTTCAAATGCAAAAATGAATGAAGAGTTAAAAAGAGTCACAAATTTTAATGACTAGCCCCAAATCTGTCAGTAAAGTTTTGATGTCCCATCACAAACTCTGAATCTGTACCTAAGGCTGCTAAGTTTTGTGATCCTCTTGTACTGCTGCTAAGATCATTAACTTCCTTTTCAATCTTATAATTTCCACTTAGGCATCCTCCGACATTACAACATAAGAAACACTGACGACCATAGTAAAGAACATTTGTGAAGGATATTACTTTGCTCAAAGAGGTATGGTCCCCTTTTCAAAATGAATCTTGCTTTTTTATCTTGAAGTTATCTTAACAAAGATTCCATCACCATCTTTACTAAAAATAAAATCAATTATGTTTATGTTTATTGCTTACTTTCATTAATCAATTAATGACTCACTTGTCTTGTGCTAAGATGTTTCTCCTTATACTGAATTACAGTTTCACATTTCTGAGTTACTTTTCATCCGAGTTTAAAGACAGAAATGGATTTTAGGCATCTTATGTTTCCAAAGAAATCCTCTGTATTCATCTAGTGGGGTTCATATTACTGAGGGATCACAGTAAATTATGTAAAAGTAAATTAAATGTTGCTTCAGACAGATCAAACCATCATCTCTGGAATGAGACTTATGTTCTCCACCCCTCTAAGATGCAATACCTCTTTTTAAGTATTCCAATCTTCTTTTTTAGAGCTTAACATATATCACTGACTTGACTTATTTGTAATTAAATAATTCAATCTAAGTACTGAAATTAACAGAAAAGATTATTTTGGTCTATAAAGGCTGGGGGCTTAGGAAAGGAACTAAACATAATTTATTTCTTTGTATATTTTTATTATATTTACAAATTTTATTTGGCATCTTCATTCAAATATCTGAGAGCTTCAAATTTATTTTAGTATATAACAGATTAAAATATTCAGCTTTATCTCTCCTGCTGTGGGAGATAAATACCTAACACCCACAAATGAAGGAAGAGTTTTGATTTGCCTTACTGCTTTAGAAGATATAGACCATAATCAGGTAGCTGCAAGGAAGAAATGTAGATATGCATAATGAAGCAAAACTGCTCAGTTCATGGCAGAAAGGAAATAGAGCAGGGGAAAAATAGTCTCATTTCACAGAAGATGGTTTGATTTGTCTGAAACAGCATTTAATTTACTTTTACATAATTTACTGTGATCCCTCAATAATATGAACCCCACTAGATAGAGCAGAAAGAATGAGACCTTGAGCCAGATATAGTATCTAAATTCATACCTCAACAGCTGGGCATGGTGGAGCACATCTGTAATCTCAGAACTCAGGAGGCTGAGGCAGGAGGATTGCCACAAATTTGAGGCCAGCCTGGGCAAAAAGTGAGTTCAAGGCCAGACTGAATCATACAGTGAAATGCTGACTCAAAAAAGACCAAAAAAATCTTTAAAAATCCATACCTTCATTATTTACCCAGACACACCCAGAATTGTACTTTCATAACCCCCTAAGTGACTCACAAGTCAATCAAGTTGACAATCCAGCTTAAATGTCACATTCAATTCTTTCTCAGTTTGACAGCCAAACATATCTCCTTTAGTCATACTTAATCTATAAAATATGACAAGGTAATAATTCTACCTAACATGATACAACTATCATATGTTCAACCAAGACTTCACTAATGTTCTCCCCAAAGTCTCAACAATTCCATCATTGTTCAAAAGTTCAAGACAAAAGTCTTCCTTGAGACTCATAGGACATTCTTAGCTCTGAACTGCTATAAAATTCAAAAAGCAAATTACATATTCTCAATATACAATGGCACAGGGTAAGCATTCCCATTCCAAAAAGGAGTGCTGAGGAACTGGAAGTCTCTGTTTCCTACAGCTTCTTCAGGTGGAGGGAGCCATAAACCCTGCCTATTGGGGATTATGTGCTCTCCAACTACCTTTTGGTGCCATGGTTCACTGGCTGGGTTAAAAAAATGTCAGAAGATAATGAAAGAGACTATGGTTGAGAGTGGGTTTAAATTATTAAACAGGGGCTGGGGATTTAGCTCAGTGGCCTAACTGTCTGCCTGGCAAAGTCAAAGTTGTGAGTTTGATCCCCGGTACCAAAAAAAAAAAAAATTATTAAATGTCTGAGAGCCATAACCTTAGCAACATAACCCACATAATGGGTATAATTAAAAACAGGTACCCATTTAAACTGTGGTGAATTAGGGTCATTAGTGACTCTACTTATCTTTATCCAGAACAATACTTGAGTTTGCTTTTTGAAGAGGAGCCTCAGGTCTTTCACAGATTCTCAGGAATAGCTTTCTACTTACTCCTGTAAAAATTCTAGTGACCTTTTCCCATGGAGTTTTTAACAGCTTGTGACTGCATTTCCTGAAGAGAGTCCAGCATGGTTCCTCAGGACCTGTAAATGAGGCTAGGGCCTTTAAGGGCTGCAGGACTATCCCCTTCTTTTTAATGATACCAAAAGTTTATTTGAAAAATGTGAGGTGAGTGGGTATAAAACAAACCACCTCTGTGGAGTGAACTTGAGCCAAAGAGAAAAAGAAGGTAAAAGCAAATATAAAAGTACATGCTGCATTTGAGGAATGTTGTATGGGCTATTGTAGGAATTCACAATAGCAGCTCCCAGTGGCATCCAATCTTCTTTTATGCCATGTATATTTGATTGGAGCTCACAAGAAGTTCTACATATAGGGTTCTAGCATTGCCTTAGGATCTTATAATTGCCATGTCCCATCCATTTTCTCCAATCAGTTTGCCATTCCTTATCTCCTATATCATTTGTCCTTGAGAGACATAAATTCTGTAAATTTTTATGGAGTTCTAAAAGAATGAAAGCCTCTGTCTTTTATAGCTTCTCCCAGCTGGAAGAGGCTGTAGACCCTACTTACTATGGATCATGCACTCTCCAACTACTTTGAGGTGTGGTTTATGACTGGGTTGAGAGAAATAAAACATGTCAGAAAATAATGATGAAAAAGTGACCCTCAGAATGCCTATTACACAGGAGAAAGAAAATTTATGATTATCCCAGGTATGAGGACCAGGTCAGACCCTTGTGATTCCTGTAGAGAAGAATGTATGTTGAAGTATATCAGCTAAATTATCAAAAGTCTAAGATCCAAGGCCTTAATGAGGTCTTTTCTACTTATCTGTAGCAGCACCAAAGTCTTGTTTTTTGAAGAGAAATATCAAATCTTCCAGAGGTTCACAGGAGTAGATCTTTCTTTTTGAGTGGTCATGTTCTTTATACAGTTCAGGTGGGTCCACGTTTAATCCAGAAAGATGAATACAAGTATCTATCTCTGACACCTTTACTGCAATGAATGTTGTAATAATCATTGAAAATGGGCATTTCCATTTTGGATTTATTGGTCTGTTGGTGTTCCCACTCTCTAAGATTTTACAAGCACTTGGTCACCAGGGAAGACACGAGGTTGTATCCCTGGACCAGGAACTGGCCATATTCTCCATACGTTTGGGTAGCTCCATACATTCTGGGCTATAATTAGCCCAGATTGATGAGATATTCTAAGAGTCTTATAGTATCTGGATCTACTATCATATCAGAGGATAGAAATAACCTTTTAGCATCTCAAATGAACTCAAAGTTGACCCAGTTTGGGACAATTATAAACTTTCATGAGTGGTACAACTTTCTGGTTGGTACTGTTACCAACCAGAGCCAAAATTCACTGGCCTCTTGGCAAAGTTTTGTCAGGCCTTGCTTCAAGGTCCTGTTGGATCTACTTTTCCAGAATATTGAGGGAACCTAGTGGAGTGAACATGGTGCTTTATTCCTAAAGCCCTGGCCACTCTCTATTTGGGAGGTAAAAGGTTTGTTGTCACTCTGGAGATACTTGGGTAGTCCAAATCTAGGGATTATTTCTTTAAGTACCATGACTAGTCCTGTATTCTTTTCTGAAAGAGTAGGAAAGGCTTCTATCCATTCTTAAAAAGTGTCAACTAAAGTTGACATCTGCTTAAATATTTAACATGGTTGCAAATATGTAAAGTCTAATTGCCAGCTTTCTACAGAATAGGTCCCTTTCCTCTGTTTGGTTTTAATAAAGTAGGTGGTTTGGGCTTGCCTGGATTGTTGTAAGCACAAAATTGGCAAGGTTTGCAGACCCATTTGGTTAGCTAATCCTGTGAAAACTCTAGTGAACATTTACAAGGTATCATCTCTTCCCAAATAGAAGGAATTATGAGGCATTTTATAGCCTTTCAATGTATCTCTTGGCAAAGAACTAGTTTGTGTCCTAAATACAACCAGAACCCCTTTTAAATTCCTTATCCTAAGGACCATTTATTCTCTTCAGAGGTATAGATGGATTTTAATGGTTCTTTAGGAATCAGAAAAAAAGGCTAGAGTATTATGGGGCTATAGAGCTGCTCTTATCTCCCTATCACACTTTTGATTTCTTTTTTAATTTTAAAAACAAAAAAATTAAAAAGATGATACAGAATTTCAAAACAAAATAACAAGAGATAAATAATGGTTAATACATTTCATACTGTTATCTACAAAGTAGTTATTCAGATTACAAGATACAAAAATGAACAATTGAAAAAACAGAAATCGCAATCCATTTTTTGATGAACTAAGAGATTAGTAATATAATTATCTATCATCTATATGTATATGTGTGTGTGTGTGTGTGTGTGTGTGTGTGTATTCTTTTCCCTTCTTTCTTTTCTCCTTTCCCCCAGACCAGTTGTTGTTCCTTTTGAGCAGCTTCTTCCTATTTCTCATTATATATTTTACATTTTGGATCCTATTTACTCTTTCATTTTTTACCTTAGGAAGACAATATGACATTCATACATGTTAGTCTGATTTTTGAGTATGACCTCAAATTGCATCCATTTACCAATTAAAACCTCAAGTTTATCTTTTTTATAGCTAAGTAGTACTACATTGTATAAAAATATCACATCACTTTTATCCATTGCTTGGTAGATAGACATTTGGGTTGTTTCCAAGATTTAGCTATTACAAATTGTGCTGTTATAAACATGGGTGTACATATTAAAAACATATAATGTTTTTAAATCTTCTAGGAAAATACCCAGAAGGAAAAGAACTGGATGAAATGGAATCTCTCATTCTATTTTTTTAAAAAGAGAATGAACCAAAATAAAACAGATCAGAACAAAACAATACAATTAACACAGGACTTCAAAACAAAGCAACAGAAAATCAAAAACAGTTACCATGTCTTGTTTTCTTCAAAATAGTTGTCTATATCTTC